CCACTACCCACCTATTGTAGCTTTCCTTCCATCTAATCCTAAGATCCTAAAGGCTTTTCCAAAAACAGAAATGAATCCAAATGAAGCCTGGTAATTTCTCAGCAAAAGGGAAAAAAAACGAGGCAAGAAAAGCGAAAAACAAGGGGAGTAGATAAAGCGATAATAAAAAGTCAAGATTAAACCAAAAACCCTCGAAAGTTTACTTTCTGCCCATGCTAGGAAATTTTGGAAGCTGATATTTTGCAGCTGCAGCAGAAGGCCAAGATAGTAGAATGGCGTTTTTGGTCAGTTGTGGATCATTATAGCCTGACGGGGACCAGAAAACAGCTCGAATAGCTTCAAAGTCGTCATTTTTAGCAAAATTCCCCGGAGCAAATGGGTTGAGCATGTTTTTCTGTACATCTCTGACCTCTGAATGGGTTGCTAGGCAGCGGTTGCCTACTTGCACCTAGCATTGCCTTGCCGATATGTATACGAGCTTTTGCCTCTCGAGTAAATAAATTTAAGTACGCGATATTAAAACAGCGGTCAAGCGCAAAACTTCACCAGGAATCATTAAGTATGTTTTACTCTGTAGAGCTGGAAAATCAGAGCCTTGAAAACCAAATCAAGGATGAAAACTCTTACCCCTCGTTCAGACTTTTGGCCCTTTTTAAACCCATTAGAGCAATTCGGGGTACAGAAAGACCCCATGTTCTTCACGCACATATAACAGACCAGCTTAAGCTGAGTAAAGTTAAGTACTGATTGGGACCAATTACTAATTTTAACTATAAAAGTGATATCGAGTGTACGGCGAAGATAATAAGAGAATCTTATGCTTAATATTATTTTGCGTTATACTAGCCGTAACAGTTCCATTTTAGACCATGGATGACGTCCAAAGACAGAAATAATCACCGGAGCGGGAGTGCAGGTACTTTGAACTTAAACGTTTCAGTTCTGTGAGGTACCTAACGATAAATTAATGCCAGAACTGAAAAAAAAAACGTCCAAATTTAAACGTTTCGAGCTTGCCCTACTTCGGTGAATGGTTGTTCACGTTGCTACAGTAAAAAGGATTCAGTGATGAAGAGCGAAGGCCCAGAGGTCGAAACCAGGGCTGAGACGTCTGCACGTTTTTAAATTTACTATTTTTAACCTTTTTTTTAAATTGAGTGCTTCTGCTAATAACGTTAATCTAACACCCCACTACTAAGCCCTTGAATCATGAATCAAAGGGATGAAATACAAGGGAATCGAGACCTATACGTCGGCTGCAGATACTAGCTAACCGTGGGAAGATTCCGATTAGCACAAACCTTACTTTTCGAATCTTTTACGTACATGAAGAATTGATCAAATTGGTGAAGAAGCAAAATGTGTTTTTTCCTTACTTTTTAAACTGAGCTGCTTTTTTTGATCGAATGCTAACGGCAACATTTTGATAAGGACTAATATAAAGTTGGAAGCAATTGAGGTAAGTTATTGGTTAGTGATACGCGTGTAAGCAAAAGCTATATGTAAAGAAGAATACGGCCAAACTGGCTATCGCCAGAAAATAACACCAAACAATACAAGCTTTTCAGTGAAATGTGGCCTAAATATTCATGTTTTTGGTGTTCTCAATGACTCACAAGATTTGATTGGCTTTGCTTCTAGGAAATGATATGTCCGTTTAACGAGCTTTACAGTGCAGAATCAATTGTCTATGATTTCCGTTGCGTTTGTTTGCTATGATATTGCATACTTGGTGAAAACGATATTGTTCCATGTAAATTCGTTTAATTGCTTGACTTGTGAAAAGGAAAAACACAATTGCCGACTTAAGTACACACAAAATATCAAATGACCTATTTGGGGGCAAATTTTCCATGCAAATTTTCATTGGCAATAAAAATCATTCGTATATGGGGCGTGAATAATATGGCGACGCGAATTTGACCTCTTCGTTTTTTTTTTTTTTGGAAACTTGAGCTTTCTTTTTCTTAACTTCTATGTGTTTACTGTAAGTGTAAGCAGAATACACGAAAAAAAAAGGGAATAAAAATTCTTATCACCTCTAAAAATATGTTTTCTTCTTCGAATAGAAAAAAACTATATTCGATTGAGAAAGATTCGATTATGGTCTGAATCGAGTGACACCTGTTCTTTGCGGTGGGAGGGGTCGGTTAGTCAAACAATGACAATGTAATGAAATAGACAATAAAACAAGTTGCTAATCACCTTAATTGAGCTAATTAATCACTACCTGTCAGTAATCTGCTCACTATATCAATACAATACCAACAAAAGTTTAGGTTCCTGTCCGCAGTCAAGTATTACATTTCTCATTGCATTCAAGTGAAGTTACATTGACCGGGAGTTGATAACGTTAAAGATCTTTAAAAGCTTTCAGGATGGTTTTATGTCTTCCAGTCAAAAAAATGACCGAAAATTGTTTGATTGCTGTCACGTAGATCCTGACCTGTAGTGTGACATAAAAAAGAACGACTCCTCTAATGGCTATGAATAATTGAGCTGAAATGCCTTATACACCAAAATGATTTATGGACTTTTGCCGCAAAATAGTACCTTTAACACAAAATGTATATTTCAAGGAAACAATGTGTATAAACCAGCTGATTTCTTTCTTTCTTTCTTTTTTTTTTTTCAAATACCCCCCAAAAAAAGTTAAATCTTCTAATAAACATTAAGCGATGTCGTTGGAAAGAATTTTTTTAATAGCTAGATATAGCGAGCGAAAATAAAAAGAAGAGGATGTCCAAGTAAAAAATCGTGCTACCTTTTAAAGTCATGCACCTGAATTTGTCATGTGAATGTATTTCAGTATGCTGAAGTTTTCTTTCTTCGATCGTTTTTCTTTGGCTGGGAGCACGTCCGTGTCCACAGCCAAACATGTCAAAAGTATATGTTGTTTGCCACACACCGCGTACATTCATTGTTTCAAAATAGCAAACTGTTCTATTCTCTGTATAAACTCGGTTGGAAACAGCTGGAGACTTATCAAAACTGATCTTTATGTTTAAGGTGCCACGCTGGGTCCAAAACAAACTAAAATGTAAAAGTTGTATTGTGGTGTGCCGAGCACAGCTTCCAGAGAATTGCCTCAGTCCGAAAATAAACCACATTTATTAGATGTCGCCTGTGTACGAGAAAATGATCAGTTCGTTGATAAAATCGCTCAGTTTCGATCATGATTCGAAAGGTGGAATATTTCGGCAAGCTTTTTAGCAAGAGGCAAATTACAATTAACAGTTAGAATCTTTTGGAAAGCGTACAAGACCCATTTTGAGAGGTTTTTTTGATTTTAACTTGTGTATCAAAGACGATTTACAGGAAAGTTTTCATCGTCAACAGCGTTCAGACGATTTCAAATTGGTCACCTTTAAAATCAACAAATTTTTGATCGCGACAGGTCGGCGAAAATTAAGACATGGCCAATGTTGTGGTTTTGGATTCTATTGAGGAAATATAAGTATCTTTTTAATTAAGAGAAATGTTTTCCTTTTTTCAACGCAACATTTAAGTGCATTTCGTTATTTTTCAGCTTCAGATCCATATACAAAATAGTGCATTAAGGGAAACGTTTGTTACTTTTATTTGTCTTTGAGAAAATCAATAAATTTTAAACCCCTGTATTATCTGGGCTTATCAGTTTATTATAAAGGGTGCCAGAAAGTTTTATCAAATCATAAAAACTATTTGATCTCCTAGGGAAAGGGGGGATTTAATTTGTTTGAAGTTGATCTAACATGAAAAGATACAAATTTTCTTAACAGTACAAACTACGAAACTGAAGATGTAAACTTGACATGGCTGCGAACAATTTTGGATTGAGAAATGACTTACACCTTGTTGCGAGATTACAGAAACATACATAGCTTTTTTCCCTTGTTCCATTGTCAGTCAATCAAATATAAATGTATATTAATTCTAAGTCCCACTGAAATTCGTGAGACAAAACATTGTTTTTGACGCCTGTACGTTAAAATGTATTTTAAGAGTTATCAGCAAATGACGTTAAGATCTGAATTTTTTAAATTAGTCCTTCGCATTTTTTCTCTTTTCTTTTTTTCCTTTAGTTCAAAGCTGACAGAAAACGCTGAACGAGATCAACCAAATCACTCTAGAAGTCCGGTTACTACATAAGGGACGACATAAAAGAAAACAACATCTTTAGTTTCACCAACGTTTATTTTACATGTTTATAAACAGAAAATAAAGGGTAAAAAATTAGTTGTACCCAAGCACCTGCTACGTCCCAGTCAAACGTTTTTTAGTTTCGTGTCTGACATTGCTCTGAAAAAGATATTGAATATAAATAATCAGTTGACCACAGCAATGACTTACGAGGTCAAAAAGATTATTTTTTGTCAGTTACTTTGAAGTTATCTTCTAAAAGCGGACATCTGTTTTTAGAAACTTCTGTTTTATAAAAGCCTCACTTATTTGGTAGCGCTGACGTCATCAAGACCAACGGGGCACTGGGCCAATCAGAAAAGCGCTGTTAAATAGAAGCCACTATTAGAGTGCTTACTGGGTGGTCAAGGCCGAGCGATAGAGGCGGTACTTGCAATTACCTTAATCATTTTGTCCACAAAAGAACTTAACAATCAAGAATAGCTTAAAAGAAACGCAGTGAAATCAAGACCTAAAATTACTGTAAAGCCGATTTTCTCATACAGCGGAGGAATGTTATTGGAGGTTAGTCATCTGAGATGCTATAGAGCGTAGTGGTCACTAAACTGACTCTGTTTTCGTTCCGTGTTAGAGTTAATTTATTGGTTGCTTGTTGGGCTTTGTTTAGGCATAGACGACGCAAATTGTAGCTAGGTCAATATAAGCACTCGTGAGGGTGGTGATAAATATATGTCAGTGAGCCGAAACCAATCGGATGCTATTGTTTGGCTTGGTATTTGTTTGACTAACTAAGCTATTAATTCATAATCTCTTGCAGTGGGTCGTATAAAGGTCACAACACGACAGTCATAATTTTATAAAGAGTACACACGTCCAACATGACTGAGATTATACCCGAGCAAGTTGTTGATCTTTCAAACTGCACTCACCTCTCACCTGCCGGCGCCGATGAGGAGCACAGTGATGCAAGGCTCTGGGATGAGAGAGAAGAGCGTGAAAGATTTCACGGTGGACAAACTTCTGGCGACGAATGTAAAAAGAGTGGAACTGAAATGGATCCGGAGTATGATGACCATGAGTCATCAACAACGTTAAGGCGAAGCGAATCTCCGTCAGAGAGCTCCCACAGAACAGAATGCAGCACAGACGACCCTGATGTCAAACCAACGCACTCATACATCGCGCTGATTGCAATGGCAATTTTGAGCTGCCCCAACAAAAAGATGATTCTAGGTGATATCTACCAGTACATCTCAGATAACTTCCCATATTACAGGAACAAGGACAAGAGTTGGAGGAACAGTATTCGACACAACTTGTCTCTCAACGAGTGCTTCATCAAAGCGGGTCGCAGCGAAAACGGCAAAGGTAACTACTGGGCCATACATCCTGCGAATCTTGAAGACTTCGCAAACGGAGATTTTCGACGTAGAAGAGCACGGAGACGCGTTCGAAGAAGCAATCCTTTTAAGTTTGGCATCGGTTCCTCCCAGGCTCCGTATTATAGAGGTGTAGGTTCGTTCTCTTCGTCCTTCTTTCCCTATCGAGGTGATGACTCAGGCAGGCTACTTCCAAGTTTAACGTATATCCGTCCAGCGAAAAAGAGCTTTGCTATTGACAGCATCGTGGGTTCCTGCGACTCTTCATACTTCTACAGCCCTATATCAGTAAGATCGTACCCTTCGTTGAGCCTACAAAGCAATCGAGAATACCTTGGAGGTTCCTCTCGCTCGCTTCTATTACACAGCTCTCCAACGCTCGCCTCTTGTGTTGCTGAAGTTTCCTCGACATCTGTACCAAATTATGTCAGCAAATCGTTGGAAACGTCCGCGTTTTCTGCTTATCTTGGCTCTAAGGGTGTTGTCCAAAAACCGCAGAGCTTTAGGCCAGAGACTTGGCAAGAAACACTGTCCAAGTTACAAGAGCAACTAAGGAAAGCATCTCCATGATTACATTATTCACAAGAACAGACGCTTTGCAGTTTTAAAAAACGCGTGAAGCGACCAGGAAGGTAACTTGGCTCATTTTCGTTTGGCGGGGATTGGACAATAAAAAAAGAATCCCACAAAAATGTTCAAAAAGAAAGACTTGAACTAAAAAAAGTGTTTTTTTTTTTTGCCTCGCTCTACATCCAAGAGATTGTCGGCGGCTTAAGTTATAAAATAACGCTATTGGGTTGCCATTAAAAATAATTTCAATTAGAAATGGACCCTGGGCAAACATCCTAAGTTATTAAAAATGATATAATTTATTGTAAAGAAAGGAAACATTTAAAAGTTTCAGCGAAAAAAAGGTTAAGTATATTTGAGCATTATGGTATAAAAGAAGCGAGTTAACATCACAAACGCGTTTGATATGCCGCGTCAAAATACTCATTCAATTAGCAGAGAAAGTCAATTTTTAAGCGTGACTCAACCAGGGATAACACTGTTTTAAGTCCATAAAGAAAAATTGGATTACACTCAAACTTAACAGAATTAATGATCTAAGAAAATCCTTGTATNGAAAGCATCTCCATGATTACATTATTCACAAGAACAGACGCTTTGCAGTTTTATAAAAAGCGTGAAGCGACCAGGAAGGTAACTTGGCTCATTTTCGTTTGGCGGGGATTGGACAATAAAAAAAGAATCCCACAAAAATGTTCAAAAAGAAAGACTTGAACTAAAAAAAGTGTTTTTTTTTTTTGCCTCGCTCTACATCCAAGAGATTGTCGGCGGCTTAAGTTATAAAATAACGCTATTGGGTTGCCATTAAAAATAATTTCAATTAGAAATGGACCCTGGGCAAACATCCTAAGTTATTAAAAATGATATAATTTATTGTAAAGAAAGGAAACATTTAAAAGTTTCAGCGAAAAAAAGGTTAAGTATATTTGAGCATTATGGTATAAAAGAAGCGAGTTAACATCACAAACGCGTTTGATATGCCGCGTCAAAATACTCATTCAATTAGCAGAGAAAGTCAATTTTTAAGCGTGACTCAACCAGGGATAACACTGTTTTAAGTCCATAAAGAAAAATTGGATTACACTCAAACTTAACAGAATTAATGATCTAAGAAAATCCTAATCAGTCAGTTGTATTGGTACAAAATGGTTTTAAATCAAAGACTAGTAGTTAACAACGAAAACGACATAACCAAAAGGCATCGTGGAATTTAAACACTTTTTTATTACCAGGGGTAAGGATTGAATGTGAAGAAAGAAATAAAGTTGTGCAGGGCATGGCTTTAGCTTGACCTGTTTCTTTTCCCAGTGAAACGAAGTGGTTGTCAATACGTAAGTAGATGTTTGATTGAGGACCTTACATGTCTATAAAAATATTCAAAAAGTAAAGCCTCAGTTCCGCGTGGGTTAGTTGGAAGTTTCTCTCTTGCATTTTTTGTTCTGAAACGACATTCACCTTTTCGATATCATGATAAAAACTCAGGCAGTGAACTTGAAGTGACGAAGAACGTTTTACCATAGCAGCATGAGTTAATCGTTCACGGAGTGCACCATTTTCACGTTCTTCCTTCGGATTTAATTTAAAATCCAGAGCTTCACATTTTCAAAACTCTGAGACACGATATTGTTAATATGCTGAAAAAGATAGGTGGAACGCACGACCAAGTTCCATTACTTTTTGTGCATGCTTAGTTTTTAAAAGCTTTTCTGAAAAGTAATTACACCCATATATATACGCATCTCCTTAATATAATTGCATCGGCATTTGCGGCGTATATAATGCTGAAATAACAACATTACATAAAATCTCTTAAGTAAATTTGCTTTGTTGATGAACGAGAGACTTATTTTCATCCCGATAACGCAGCTTCATAGCAACTTTTATGAGCAAAAGCAAATGAAAGCCGATTTGGACAAAGCCCTGCTACCAGCCACTTAAGTTCTTGCGTCACATAATCTTGATATTTTGTGAGAAAAAATTGCCGGGCAAGCTTTGTTTTGTAATCAACAATAGTAAAGATAGGTTGTCCAAAAATGGATTTTTTTCGCTTCATAAATGTTTTATCAGCAAACTTTTCAATTTGAGAATTTTTTAGGTGCTCATTGTAAGTTATAATATAATGTTTGCCTTATCTTATTTATCAAATTGCACATAATCGAGCAAGTGAAAAGACTTACAGAGCGTTTTCACCTTGTGATTGACTATGATATATGATTTGATTTTGCTTCGGTCTTTGTGACGGCTTAACCGCGCGAAGGGAAATGAAAAGAAATTTTGAAGGTTTCTTCCATTTAATAGATAAAAACGTACATATCGTTTTTATTGAATTGCCAAATAGATAAATGTTTTGATTAACATCAGATTACTTCTAAAATAAGGTAGCTTTTTTTTCAAGCTTTTGCAGTTTAAGGCAATAGTTTATCCACGTCTGGTCTCTGCTCATAGTTTAATTTGCTTTGGCCTTTGTGGATTCAGGCTTTCATAGATGACAATTTCAAATGTGTTTTGCATGGTACCTCTGACCGTAATGCTTGTAGTAGTTTTAATTAATAGAATTTGATTGCTCTTCGCTCCAGTTGCGAAAAGGTCACAATAATAAGAAGAATGAACAAATTAGCTACTCCCAAAATAGATGTTATAAACCCTTAAAAAAGTTTTTCATGTATATAGAATTAGGATGGTATTTTTCCGTTGTAATTGTATGATCAAACTCTGTTTGAAATAACTGAGCAAGCGGTTTGGTAGTTCTAATTGCACCGGACACTTTCAATGCCATGTCATGCTACTTTTGCACCTTGGTTGTAAATTTGATTATGCGTGAAGCGACCAGGAAGGTAACTTGGCTCATTTTCGTTTGGCGGGGATTGGACAATAAAAAAAGAATCCCACAAAAATGTTCAAAAAGAAAGACTTGAACTAAAAAAAGTGGTTTTTTTTTTGCCTCGCTCTACATCCAAGAGATTGTCGGCGGCTTAAGTTATAAAATAACACTATTGGGTTGCCATTAAAAATAATTTCAATTAGAAATGGACCCTGGGCAAACATCCTAAGTTATTAAAAATGATATAATTTATTGTAAAGAAAGGAAACATTTAAAAGTTTCAGCGCAAAAAAGGTGAAGTATATTTGAGCATTATGGTATAAAAGAAGCGAGTTAACATCACAAACGCGTTTGATATGCCGCGTCAAAATACTCATTCAATTAAGAAGCAGAGAAAGTCAATTTTTAAGCGTGACTCAACCAGGGATAACACTGTTTTAAGTCCATAAAGAAAAATTGGATTACACTCAAACTTAACAGAATTAATGATCTAAGAAAATCCTTGTATTAGTACAAAATGGTTTTAAATCAAAGACTAGTAGCTAACAACGAAAACGACATAACCAAAAGGCATCGTGGAATTTAAACACTTTCTTATTACCAGGGATAAGGATTGAATGTGAAGAAAGAAATAAAGTTGTGCAGGGCATGGCTTTAGCTTGACCTGTTTCTTTTCGTAGTGAAACGAAGTGGTTGTCAATACGTAAGTAGATGTTTGATTGAGGACCTTACATGTCTATAAAAATATTCGAAAAGTAAAGCCTCAGTTCCGCGTGGGTTAGTTGGAAGTTTTTCTCTTGCGCTTTTTGTTCTAAAACGACATTCACCATTTCGATATCATGAAAAAAACTCAGGCAGTGAACTTGAAGTAACGAAGAACGTTTTACCATAGCAGCATGAGTTAATCGTTCACGGAGTGCACCATTTTCACGTTCTTCCCTCTGATTTAATTTAAAATCCAGAGCTTCAAATTTTCAAAACTCTGAGACAGGATATTGTTAGTATGCTGAAAAAGATAGGTGGAACGCACGACCAAGTTCAAGTTCGTTTGTGCATGCTTAGTTTTTAAAAGCTTTTCTGAAAAGTAATTACACCCATATATATACGCATCTCCTTAATATAGTTGCATCGGCATTTGCGGCGTATATAATGCTGAAATAACAACATTACATAAAATCTCTTAAGTAAATTTGCTTTGTTGATGAACGAGAGACTTATTTTCATCCCGATAACGAAGCTTCATAGCAACCTTTATGAGCAAAAGAAAATGAAAGCCGATTCGGACAAAGCCCTGCTACCAGCCACTTAAGTTCTTGCGTCACATAATCTTGATATTTTGTGAGAAAAAATTGCCGGACAAGCTTTGTTTTGTAATCAACAATAGTAAAGATAGGTTGTCCAAAAATGGATTTTTTTCGCAGCATAAATGTTTTATCAGCAAACTTTTCAATTTGAGAATTTTTTAGGTGCTCATTGTAGGTTATAATATAATGTTTGCCTTATCTTATTTATCAAATTGCACATAACCGAGCAAGTGAAAAGACTTACAGAGCGTTTTCACCTTGTGATTGACTATGATATATGATTAGATTTTGCTTCGGTCTTTGTGACGGCTTAACCGCACGAAGGAAAATGAAAAGAAATTTTGAAGGTTTCTTCCATTTAATAGATAAAAACGTACATATCGTTTTTATTGAATTGCCAAATAGATACATGTTTTGATTAACATCAGATCACTTCTAAAATAAGGTAGCATTTTTTTCAAGCTTTGGCAGTTTAAGGCTATAGTTTATCCACGTCTGGTCTCTGCTCATAGTTTAATTTGCTTTGGCCTCTGTGGATTCAGGCTTTCATAGATGACAATTTCAAATGTGTTTTGCATGGTACCTCTGACCGTAAAGCTTGTAGTAGTTTTAATTAATAGAATTTGATTGTATGCTCTTCGCTCCAGTTGCGAAAAGGTCACAATAATAAGAAGAAAGAACAAATTAGCTACTCCCAAAATAGATGTTATAAACCCTTAAAAAAGTTTTTCATGTATATAGAATTAGGATGGTATTTTTTCCGTTGTAATTGTATGATCAAACTCTGTTTGAAATAACTGAGCAAGCGGTTTGGTAGTTCTAATTGCACCGGACACTTTCAATGCCATGTCATGCTACTTTTGCACCTTGGTTGTAAATTTGATTAATGGCAAAAAGTTTTAATACTTGTATTGAGAGGCAAGACTCTTTTCAAAAATCTCTTTTGTTATAATACGAATCTTAAAATATCCAAAAATTACTCTCTTTCTTCCTTTATAACTCCGGGTGAACAAACGCTGTATCGTTTTGTTTTTGTTGGTTATGGCCCGGCTAAAGTAAATCTTGCAGGTGTTTAATTTACGCACTATTTTTCATAAAAGGTTTAAGTTTTTATTAAGACTATTCTTCATGAAAAGGTCTTGATCGATTTAGACTTTTAATTAATATATATTAAGGGAAATGGCGTCAAATACAATAATGATATATTTTCTCTTTTTGATTAAAAGATGCGGTTTTGTTTGTAATGTTTTCCCAAACTTCGAGCTCAAAATTAGACTTCAAACGTGTTTGTTTTCTTTTTTATACATAAAATCATTCAGTGACAATTTACTGCTTTGAAATAGCGCAAGCTTGATTTTTTCACCGAATAAGCATTACTGAAAAAAAGATGTATATATGTATGACTCTCGTAAGTTTTTATATGAATTTTGTGTTCTCCTTCTAATTTAATCGTTTTATTCCAGCAAGACGTCTTCACTTGTTAAACGCTGATGTTGTTGCCTAAGGATATACAGCTCTGAATTGTATGAGTCTAAAACATTGTAGAAACTAAGAACTATTACCAAAATACATGATATGTTGTTTTACTGTATCGTCATATATCGAAGCACACTCTTTAGACCTAATTTTAATCATCTCGCAATGCTGAGTTTATCCATCTAAAAGTTGTAAAGTTGCATTTGGTTATACTATTAAATAGCTGATGAAGTGAAAGATACCTTGACTTCAAGTTCACGTGGTTTAAATCTTTAAAGTTGTTTTCTTCAGCTGTGCAAATTTTCTGTGCCCACCCACGTCCATTGTCGTCCCCAGATCCCAGGGTCTCTTACGTCGCTGACCAAAAGGATCGCGGCCTATGGGAAAGAGATTGACCCTCGCCGAGTATTTTACGTATATTGTCTCATCTAACAACTATTTTCCGCACTTTAATTTGGATAGCAGAATCAATAAATCCTGTGGACGAAAGTTGTGCGCAGGTCACCCCACACGGACAAAATTAAGCTTTTTTTGTCATGAGACATGTACCAGTTTTGTTATATATTTTAAAAAAAACTGGTGATCTCTGTTGAACCATCCTTGAAAAAGCCGTGGTTATCCCAGTTTTCCTTGCACATTTGAAGAGTCCATGTACCTAATGGACCGCGCAAAAATATCTTTGCATTAGGAACCCACGTTACCTGAGTTGCTTTGATTGCGGCGAGTCAATTTCAGGATTATCGGTCAGCAGTTGACGAGTAAATGAAACGTCTTGTATGAGTTAGCCTGCAAGAGCAGACGCTCTTTTATCGGTGGGTGAAACAAGACCCGAAAAAGCGTCTGCTTTCGCAGGCTATCGATGAGTTTACGTATTAGCCGGTATTCGTTATTTGCGTTTGTGTTTGTTTGCAAGCAAGGACATTTTTTAACAAAAATTAATAGCCGTACGACTACAACGTGCAAGATATTGTAAATTGTAAACTTGAAAGTAACGTGTTTGGCAGATGAGGCTTCTAGCACAGAATCAGCCGATAGCTTTGTAATATGGAATTTCTGAATACACGTTTTATTAACGATTTTCATGACTTTCATAAAACATATTCCATGCAACTAAGCTAAAACCCTAAAAACTGTTTAGGACAACCGCCCATTAATCACATTTCAATCGTCTTTTTGGCAGCTGGGACGAATTGAGCAGTTTTATTTAGTTCAACTGTGCTTTCATTATTACTTTGTTTTGTCAGTAACTCAGTGAAAATGAGGAAATCGTTTGTCTTAAGGTTTGAGGACACATATTTCCTGTAACAACACGGTTGGCGGTAGCAATATTGTACATGAAATGTTGAAGTTGTATAAATCATCGTGGCTTCGATAAAGTTTCCAGTTAAAATATTTGCCGCATTTCAGAAAACTGTATTGTGGAGGCTTTTTGTCAAGTCACAGTCAATGCGCTTACAGTAAAAGTATTAGAGTCCCGTTTGCACCAAAACGTCTTTGCAGATCTCAAACTATGTACCGCACAAACTTAGAAAGGGCCATGAGTAAGCTTTTAGTGACGGACTATTATCAATAGTCAATATTACGAGTTGAAGGGAATTACTGACAGTGATTAATTAGCTCACCTGAGGTGATTAGCAAGTTTTCTTTATTGTCTACTACATTACAGTGTCATTGTGTGACTAACAGTCCTACCACAAAGGGCCGATAGGTGTAACGAATTAAGCTAAAACGATTCTTTGTTAACCCAATACAATTCTTAAAAATCTAATAAAGACGCTTAACTTTTAGGTTATATTTCGTTTAATTTCTTTTGTTTGGATGTATTTCGCGGACAGTAAACAAGCGTTAGAATATTCACTCTACTAAATGTGTGAGGAGTTAATATTAACTACTTTCTCTTTTAGACCTGGCGAATAATCGAAAAAATACTGTATACATAGGTAAAGGAAACGTTTAGCTAGAACATAAAGTTAGCTTAGTTTTATTCCTGTCGTCTCAAAATTGGTGTTCCTAGCAAACGTTCGTCATAGGAAATTTGCATTTGACTAGTTTGACTTTGAGATATTGGTGTGTAAGTTTTGGGCAATTATGCTATTCTATTTACACAACTAAGACTTTAAAAGACCTTTTTAAAGCCTTTCATGTTCTCTTGGTATACAAAGAATAATATCGCTTTCACGAAGCGTGCAATATCACAAACAAACGCAACGAAACTCGTGTACAATTGATTTTATATTGAAAAGCTTGTTAAACCAGACAAACCAGACACATGTCGAATACTATTGAGGTCATGTAAGCCAGCGTGTCCAATCGATCATCATGTGGCAAAATAAAAATATCTGATATTACAACAAAAAAAAATTCGCGTGCCTTTTAATACATATGTATTCTTTCTGAAGATTTACTTTTTCTTATCAGGGCTCCTGTTCTTATTTATTCATGTTTATCTTTTTTAAAGAGGGTAATTCTGAAAAGTTTATTAACTGGAGGAAAGAAATTCTTCCTTCGGCTTGTTTTGTAATGATGTTGAAATAGTCTGTGAAAAGGTCTTTCCTGGCTTTCCTCTCTCCTCGTCTCGTCGCACTTTTAAGCTCCTCTTCGTCCATGCAACCTCGTTCCCAGGGATTTCCCTCCGCAGGGACAGATAGGAGAGAAGCCTGGGAACGAGGTTGCTCGAGCCAACGGATCCTATTCACAGGCTTACACTATAGAAATAGAGTTACTCTCAAAATTGCTTACTTACTTGCTTCTATGTCGCTTCATGATTATGCGAGTGTGCTACGGGGTCTAATAACGTTTTCTGTTTACTCTAGCTGACAAACCGGTCGATTCAGAATGTGTGTAAATGCTAAAAATCTCTCAGGACTTGACAATTCCGAACGGGAATTGCGTTTACCATTTGCACAACCTTTTTCATTTACCGCAAATTCGACGCAAAAGTTCGGATCTTAGTTGTTCGGAAAGTGAATGTTTGCAAATTTATGTGCTAGCAGTGTCTCCTCAGACTCTTGGACCTGCCCTGTTCGTCTCATAGCATCTAGAACCTCTCCTTTTTTCTTTATCGTGTTGAGCGTGACCTCGTGGTCACAACCCAAGACATCGTTTTGAATGTCCAAAGCCTCTTCAAGTTCTTTTAAGGCCATTTCAAATTTCCCTTGTATACAAAGAACTTCGCTTAGCCGAGTGTGCGAACGAGCTGTGTCTTGATGCACACCTAACAGCTTCCACCTCACGTTTAAAGCTCGTCTGGTGCAAGTCTCGGCGGACTCAGCGTACTGCGCTGGATCCTTTCGTGCAAGCTCCAGGTACATGGATGCGATGTGCTGAATAACTGAAGCCGTCCAGGGATGAGCGTTACCTAGCTGCTCTATGTAAACCGGCAGCGTCTTTGTTTGCCAAATTTCCAGAGCCTTCTTGTAGTCACCACAATGTCGGTAAGAATCTATAAAAAAATTAAAAATTCTTCAAAAATACCTGCTCATCAGTATGATGATTTACTTGATATCACTATAGATCATTTTCCTAAAATCTGAATTTCCAATGACCGACTGATTATTTTTGTATGTATAGCGGCAACAAAACTATGTATGTTCATGGCAGTGCCAGGATCCAGACCTTTAGATAAGAGGGTGGGGCGGACATCCAGACCCTTATATAAGGAGGGGGGGGGGGGTCTCCAAAAAAATTTTTTCGACCCTTCAGAACTCAGTTTGGTCTAAAAATAAGTTGGGGAGGGGGGGGGAAGCGGTCTAATAGCCGGCTTCCGGGGCCCCTTCCCTGGATCCGCCACTGCATGGTTACATTCTGGGACTGTAATACTTGCATTATTTCCATAATCATCTGACAATCTAACAATTTATTAATTTATTCCGTGTCTTATCCTCGATGAACCTCTACTTTTACTGCCATGTTTGACTGTATGGGGACTGCATGGGCCGGGTGCTCGAATTTTCGGAAGTATCAGTAACATTTTTTACGATTGCTCTGCTAGCACCTAAACAAGACATCACCGTACCTATTAACCTCAGCAGACTGAAAATTTTGAGCAACTCTCGGCTATAGGTTAAACGCCCATTATGACCCTCTTGTTTTATTGGCATGCTTAGGCGATCGAAAATAAATGAGGAATACGGGTAACTACATTCTTGGATTCTAGTCGCTTTGTTTTGTGCAGTCTTACTGCCGAGACCTTCTATTCACCATCTATGATGCTACTAATTACCATATTTACTCGAATAAGCGCCGCATTTGAAAAAAAAAAGAAACACCAACATCATATATATGGCGCCTACCCTTCTTCACCGCGTCCAACTTTCAAATGAACACCGTCCTCCAATAAGCGCCGCATTTGAGGCGCTTAGTAAGGGCCTCGTCGCTTGTACGAGTAAATAAGGTAAATGATATAGACGTGCCAAGCGAATATTTAGTTTCTTACGTCCAAGATCACAGTTTCCTGCAGCGATATACAGTTGAACACCCAACTCCTCTCTTAGTTTGATTCCCTCGAGGATTGATTTCCTTCCTCCTTCTACATCTCCCTTAAAGACAAAAGCAAGAAAATTAATATGAGCAAATGCCATAGACTGTATTCCTAAAGCTGATCAGTTGCGATTATCAATTACCTTACTACGTGAAATTTTGGCGACACTTAAATTTAGCGAATTTAGCGATTTTTTCTTAAAATCGCTAAATTTAGATCGTTGCTAAATTAAACTCAGTACAAAATGAAATTCCGCCATCTAGTCAATTTCACGCACATGTGTCGCCTTTTCTCGCGTGGGGTGATTTTCACGCGCGCTCGCGTTTCGCTCGCTCTACTATCCCTGAGAAAAAATGGGGGACTACTCGTAGTCTATCCAATCAGAAGCACTACCCAGATCTGGGTAGTGAAGCGTCATCAGTATGGAATTTCTGCGCTTGTTTCTCAGACGTCATTTCACGGGGACACCAGTGGTGTCGCGAAATGTCGGCTGATTTCTTAGGCTTACATTCGCTCTCTAATCCTGACGGATTAACGCAAGCTAATGTCTCATGAAAAAAGCAATCTACTGGAAGTAAGGACAAAAAAAAGTCTCTCACCTGGAGTAACACACACAAGCCACGTTTGGAGGTTACGTGAGCGTATTTCTCGCATTTCTGAGTCTCCTTTGGCAATCCTCTGAATATTGAGCAAGCTTCTTCAAACTTCTTACAAGCATGCTCCGCACCGTCGCTTTTGCAGTGTTCTGCGTCATCTAAACAACGGAAACCAAGGGAATTTAAGCTGTATGCAAGTCTCTTACCGTCACGTATGGAGTCCCTAGCGATCTCACAACACTTTTGATACAAAAGGGTGCATTCCATAGGTGGTGATAACACTTTAGCTAAGAAGTCCACGACTTCATTAGCAACATCAATAGCAAAAATTTTGTCGTCGGGCTCACTAGAGTCACAAAGACAGATCTCAAATGCTTCCATGATATTTGCTTTATCTTCCCTGAACCTTTGAATGGCCTTTGATGAATCTCTTGTGAGAAACAGATTGTGAAGATCTCGCAGAATCTTGAGGTAGTGTTGATTGAAAGCCGTCTCTGCGGAGCGCCCTTCATTAGCCATGCCTAAGCTTTCTCTTTGCTCTTTGCAATAAGTCTTAACAAGCTGATGAATAGCAAAAACGTCTTCATCGTTCAACTTTTTAAGCAAACACCACTGAATCAATTTTGTCTTTTCTACTTCCACTTCAAAATCATCCTTGAACAAAAACCGGATGTCGTTCACAGAAAAACTCGTTGGGAATACGGAAAGGCGGACTAGCTTCCTCAACACCACTTCAGGCAAAAGGCGAAAAAAGCGGTCAATGTTGGTATAAAACCGGGTTAGATGTTCGTTATCGCGTACAACTCTCACGGGATTTTTTCTCAGCTCTCGGGCAAAAACTTCGGGGCAGAAGCCATCAGCCATCATTAAGCCACTGTAGCTAAGAAATAAGGGTATCCCGTCACACAACTTGCCAATCTCTTCAGCAATAGCTTTTGGAATACGCGGTGCCCTTTTCAACAAAAGTTCAGAAGATGAGGAAGGATCTAAAGAATCGAGGCGAATCTTATGAATGCTGTCTGCTGAATCGAGGCTGTTGATGTCATACTGTGTTGTTATGATGGTTCGAATCTTCGGCGCAAACTTCACCATGAATTCAAAAAAGTCATCGAACTCTTTATCTTTTTGTGCATCTTCTGTGTTGTCAAGAATGACTATCGTGTCTTTTTCGTGCTCCGATAGCTTTCGCTTGCAGTGTGAAATCACATCACTGTCTAATGTCCAATGTCGATGATCTAACTGATGGAGAATGTTTTGGCAGATCTCTATGAGTTTTTTCTCCTTGACGTACACAACAGGCCAGTGTTCTTTTTGCAACAAGTGTCCGACATGGATTGCAACCTCTGTCTTGCCCATGCCAGGTAAAGCGATGATAATAATCATGTTTGATGAATTTGTTGTCAACTTTTCCTTGATCTGATCTACGACAGCATCCCTTCCAACAAAGTATTCGCACTGGTATGGTAGGTTGCTTGTTCGTCGTGGTACTAAAATAAAGACAAAAAGTCGCTTAGCGCCCCATCCCTCTGAAGATATCATCCAGGGGAACCTCGTTCCCAGGATGCTCTACTGCTCCTCCCTCTCTCGCTCCAGGGGACACGTAATAGAGGACCCTGGGAACGAGGTTGTCACCCAGTGTTCAGGACTTGGACTGTCGCCTGCGCATGCGTGCGCATGCCTGCGCGAAAATGGCTGTAGGGCACGTGTTTTAAAAAACTTTTGCAAACAATACTACTTCTGAAGGGTCAAAGAATCAAAAAGAAAAAACCATATATTTGAAAACAGATACCGAATTTTTATCACTTTCTAGTATTTTATTAATTTATGTATGCATAGTGGCGTTAATAGTAAATCGTGCGTAGCGCCATAACATAGCAACAGGGACTTTAAGATGCGACGACAGCGACGACAACGGGAACGTTAAAAAAGCAAAAGGTTACGATGACCAAAACAACAACTTTGCACATGCATCACGCTTTTTTGTACATTTCTTTGCCGTCACATCACGACTACGACGTGAAAATGCCTATTTTCACCTTTTATGGGGAACGCAAACAAGCTACTACGAAATTTTCTTTCTCTTTCTGAACATGGATATGGTTGTTAGGAAATCAACTAAAGGAGAGTTCGCATAATTTTGACAAAATGGACTTTAAGATCCAACGAAGCGACAGCAACGAGAACGTCGCTTAAAAAGTGGATTTAACTGCGTTCTTTTAGCATTTATCGCAATTATTCCTACACACTTACTTTGTCAAATGTAGGTGAACACTCCTGTATTTGAATTCCTAGGGACCATATCCAAGTTCAGAAAGAGAAATAAAATTTCGTCGTTTCTTGTTTACGTAGTCCATAAAACGTGAAATTAGGCATTTTCACGTCGTAGTCGAGCGAAAACGGGCAGAGAAATGTACAAAAAAGCGTAGTGCACGAGCAAAGTTGTTAGTTTGCTTATAAAACCTATTGTTTTTTGTTGTCCTCGTTGCCGTCCGCATCGTTGGATCTTAAAGTGCCTAAAGTAAGTTAGTTGGAACTGTCGCGATGAACACTGAATGAACGCGAATTCACTTTTTAGGTGGCGCTGTTTTCGCTGCCGTCGCCTTCCTCGGATCTTATGTTCCCTAATAAGCAATAAGCAGACAGGTGCAATCACTAAATAACGTAAAACAAATACTGTAGTATTGGCCTCATTCTGAAACACACTTCTTTCGCACTATTTGTAGATATGTCTTCATCTAAAGTACGTTAATTTATATTAGAGATTGATTTTTGAAGATAATATATAGATTTAGCCAGGGATGAAAGCGAAGCTCTCGATAATTTTTATAATTTGCTCAAACAAAATATAAAGTCGCACATGTAATGCTAAGCGCTGAAAGGAACGAGAACGGTGAAAAAACAACAATAGAGCAGCACTCTTTTTCTGTACATTTCTTTGCCGTTATTTTGCACGATTACAACGTGAGACTTCCATAAACTTCCTAGTTACAAGTTTTATGGAGGAAATGTGGGAGGTGTTTTTGTTCACTTTTGTCACTGTCGCCCTTTCTCACCCTGGTGGCCGCCAGCATCCCGCCGCCACAAAATTTTATGTTTTTCCTGTCGCGCTACTTTCTCTTGTCCACTGTCTTTTTTTCCTCTCTATTCCAAATTTGTGGACATGACAATTAATCTAAGCTTAATACTTTAAACAACACGGATACAGAAATATTTTTCGTTTTCCATTTTTGTCTTGACTCTTTAGTTGTGTCTGCTTCACAAGACGCGGGTGGCAATACGCTTTCCCGCGAAAATAACCTGACAGTTGGCATCGGCTTACATGTAGTGGGTGTACGGGCGGTCGTTCGGGCATACGCTACGTCATAACCAAATTTTCTTGCTTTCATAGGTTACTAATTTCTCTTAGCAGTGAGGCGCCTCTGCGCGCGCGGGAGCTGCGCTATAAAGGTTTTTGCACACTGCGCAGTATGAGAGAAAAACTATAACTGGTAGTCTCGTGTAAAAAGAACGAGTTTTGAAATTTTTCTCGGCCATCTCACATTTAAAAAACTTCCTGTTTCTTATCCCAGTAACGAGGAGTAACTTATCTTGCCTATGTTTACAGTATACTGGATAGCTTTTGGGCCGACATGCCATGAAAACCTACTGCTTGTACAATAAACAGCACAGAACAGCAACAACTAGTTCACACACTTCGAACATCGTGCCGGAACGGTTGGCCGAGAGGGTTTGGTGAAAACAAACCCTCCCCTACGGTCCGAAGATACCAGTTCACACGACGACAGAGTGGCAGAAGCCTGACGATCTATTTTCGATTTCAAGTTCGGCGCAGCTTCGCTCAGTTACAAAAATCACGCCATTTGAAATCACGGTTCTTATGTGTGAACAAAAGCCTTATCCTGTATGGTTTTCTTGTCGGCGCAACCCGCAAGAGCTATAAATCACTATCCGGTATCAAGAGAGAATGAGCTAAGAGAGCGAATCCCTGTGCCCAATGATAATTTTTTAAAATCTATTTAAAGTTCGCGCGCGTGCTGCGAAGGTTATTTTTGTCTGTTGTTTCCGTGACCCGCGCAGTCTCTACTTTCACGTGAACGTGACATGTTTCGTCGCCAAACATTTGAAGTTTGACAGCCATTATAGTAATTATCGCCAGGAGCCGATACTAATCGGCTCCTGTTGTTGACATGTTTTTGATCAGCGCTTTCCATTCATAATTCAGGAATGAATTTCATTTACCAAAATTGCAGTATTGGAGTCAAAATTTCACTTTGAGATTAAAGATTGAGATTTTCTAACGGCTGGTAGCCTCATATAAAGTAACGAATATTGAATTCTGACACACTGTGAAAACCAGAGGCAAAAGTTTATCACGCGCGAAACACGAAACCTTTAATTAGTGGCAGGCTTCAATTGTTTATGCAAATGTGCAAGATATTTTTTCTCTTTTTCCAGGAATATTTTTCGTTCAGAAACAGTACCTTTGCTTTTAAGAATTATTCTTGAGAGTTTCAAACTGCATTACTTCTTCTTAACGTCTAACACTGGCGATGAATATTTCGCTGTGCAAACACAAATCAGGTCAGATGCTTCAAGCTGTTTTTAAAATAAACGGTTTTTGGTAAACAAGCCAGGACCGTTTTGATCTTCGTCAGCTACTCTGGCCAGATTATTCCACGTATAAATCTTTTGACTCGTCGACGAAAGAAATATAAAGTTTGCACGTCATATCGCTTGCTGTGCGTGATCGGTAGCCTGCGTGGCAGGCGTTTACGCCTGTTTTACGCCTGCCACGCAGGCTACGTGATCGGCAGTGAAATGAATTACCCGCCAAGTTTAAAATTATATGACGCCACTCTAACCGAACAATAAGGTGGCGTCCTTAAAATAACCACGCAGTGTGACACAGAACCAAGAATAGATTGAAAATATTTTTCGTGGGAAGAGAGTCGTGTAAGGGAGATTCGTTTTTCATCACCACTTAAACTTTAAAAAGAAATTAAAACTTTACTTTTTAAGCCGGAATTCATTAGCACAGGATTCTCATAGTTTATTGTTAGTTTATTTGTCACTAGTACTGCTATAGGACTGCTTGCATCAGTGTAAACTTACTCAATTCTTAAGTTTTGTATCTTGTTTTAGTTTTGTAATTTAGCCTTCAGTCTTCATTTCTACATAACATAATTTCTATCATTTTGACCCCTGGTCGTATAAGCCCCTGGCTTTGGCTTTACCGAGTTTGTACTATATGAACGATGGAATAATAAAGTTAAAGTTAAAGTTACTAGCACTACAGAGAATTGCATGCATACTGAGTAATCATTTCCTCAGTGTGGTTTATGGTTCTTGATGTGTTCCTGACGGATCTGACCACAGATGCAGTTGTAAAGTGTTTTAATTTTCTTTTGACCTCTGTTTAAACCTAAAGCTTTAATTTAGTATTACGGCTAAATAAATATTTCTGTCATCTAAGGTTTTCTCCGTAAATCCTGGATCTACGGAATAACCGTACATGCATGCATGTAAGTTTCTTTGTCCGTGAATGTGATTATTTCCTGGTATGCCCGGGGGGAGGGTACTCCCTATGATGGTCTATACGGGGAGGCTCCGCCCGAAATCTCAGAGGGGTACTCAACGAATATTTGTACGGGGAGGCTCCGTCCCGAGGTCCAGCCCCTTACCCGTCTAGAAAGCGTTCTATAGTTGTGAGTGATTCCTATTTTGTGATAGTGCATTTCCAGCAGTTAAAAGGGATACAAAAGTTAAGCTCCCCCCCACGCCCCTCCTGGGCTGAAGCTGAGACCCAGCTCATAAGTGTTGTTTCAAGGATTTTGAATTTTCACGGATAGTGAGATCTTCAGATTTGGGTTGTACACGGTAGGTTAAACCTAAGCTACCGGCCAAGTATGGAGAATTATGCTCTGTGCGAGTCAAGATCATTCTCTAACCGCTGATAGCCTGATGCAGTCCATTTAATTTTTTTTGAAGTGAGTCTTTGGACAAAAGCGCGATGTCTTGTTGTTCCTTCGTTGGTATTTACTCTGTTTACTGTTGTGTTGCTTAACAGTCTATGCGAATGTTTGGAATTCTGCAAGAATACAGTTCGTCTTCAGTTGCTACTATGGTAAAGTCTTTGGTGCAGAGAGCGAAACTACAATCATCGTCAAAAGTGTTGGGAAGGTTGCCTTCTTTACCTCTTCTTTTCCTTCCTCCCCCCGCCTCTGGCCCAATGTTGATAAAAAACGTTAATGACGTTAATGTTTGTGCGTGTAATTGTTCTGTTATATCCCAAAATTGAATTAGGGGGGACGGGGGATATTTAGCAAAACAGAAAACTCTCTTTTTTCAGGATTGAAATGGACTACTGTTAAGTTGTGCAACCTTTCCAACTGCTTTTGTCTGTGATTGTCTGAAAATTCTGGGTGTGGCCGTAAAAGGTCAAAACTCGACGACTTTAGATGTTGATCAAAACGTTAATGTTTGTGCGTGTAATTGTTCTGTTATATCCCAACATTGAATAGGGGGGACGGGGGATATTTAGCAAAAGAGAAAACTCTCTTTTTCAGGATTAAAATGGACTACTGTTAAGTTGTGCAACCTTCCCAACTACTTTTGTCTGTGATTGTCTGAAAATTCTGCGTGTGGCCGTAAAAGGTCAAAACTCGACGACTTTTTGTCAGTAGAAACGTCTTCAAAAAACACTCGTAAACAGTACTCTGTTTAAAAAAAATATTTGCCGTACCTTGTTAAGACAGTTTTTGGCGCACACACCCGTTTATATTCGGCATGTTTTGCAACCCGGTAAGTACAACTATTGCTCTCAGTCCAGGGCGCAGGAAGAGGGCCAAAATACAAATGTAAGATTATTTTCGGTGAAAGCTATTGACTATAGCATAGGTTGATATGCTCCAAATGTTAAAGCAAGATATAGTGCGTTCACCAGTTCCCCCAAAAATCATTCGGATCGCGACATTGCAGCTGGCATATTCCTTAGGAGCTCCCCCATTTTACAGAATTTCAGCACACGCCAATTTGCCACGCGAGCAAACTCGTGAGGCTGAGTGGAGATTTGCCGAATTCTAGAGGCCACTTTCTCTGGCTGAATAACTTTAGTTAAGCCCTTGTGGCACTGCTTTTCGAAACTTGTTTCAGAAAACGAGAACAAAGTACGCTCTTGATTTAGAATAAGGCGTCTATTGTCTTCGTTAATCTAATTAAAAAAGGTAACACAGGCAAAGTCATCACACACCACATTACTCCACTCTTGTAGCCGAAAATAATTCCTTTATAGTAGCGCTAACGACAACATACCCTAATTGACTTGTTCGGGGCTTTGCAACGACATTAATTAACCAAACGAATTTTCATAGACAATTTAGCTTAATTCTAAGTAAAATACGACATTACTCCATGGGTAGTGTTGAAATTAAACTCACTTTGCTAATTGACCTTTATGGAGCACTGTTTAAATGGAGTAATGTTGGGAAACAGTTGTTAAATTTATCCCCGTAGATAAATGCGACAAAAGCTGTCCATATTCTTACATGGTTTACATGTTTTTGCATTTTTCTTGTTTGAAAGTTGGTTAATTGTGCATATATGTTGTTTACTGTTCTCAAATTAACTGAATGATTGACAGGCGACGCTAGGACAGCAATTTCTATATGAACACTGAACATAGCTGAATAAACTCTTTTATAGAGGTTCCGTATTACTTTCAGGTCTTACGAAAATACAGTCTAGAAGATTTTAATTGGGCACTTATCTCACTCCTACCTCGCAACTACAAACATCACGCTTTTCTAGGACAGTTTAACACCGCCAGAATGAAAAAAAAAACTTTATTGTGGCAGCCTTTATGCCATTTCTATTTGTAACATCTTTCAAATTATTTCGCTGATAGGAAACGGAAAAAGTTAACCAGGAATAATGCCGCTGATGAAAAAGATACATGTTTACATGACAACGACAGCAATCGTATAGCATTTTTTACTTAAAAATACCGCCATGACTTTTCGTTAAATCTAGTGAAATAGACCACCTGTTACCATTCTTTCTGCATAGTCCACGCGAAGAAAGCGTCCTCTTGCTTCATGAGGAAAATTAAAGCCCTTAAATGTTTTCTTCTGACGTTCTTAAAAGAAAGCGTTTTCACCCAGTGGATTTGTGGTCATGCTATGAAATGTCACACACGTCAGATGCAAAATTCTCCTATTTATTATTTTACCGAAATATCACTTTCATTATATTTCTTAGATAGTTTTTAAAGTGCATTATCAGCACAGTTCTAGGGCGAGATACTCTCAATCAAATGTTAAATGCGACAAGTTTTATAAGCGTTTAAAGTTGATTTCCTATTCTCCTTATCATCGTCAAAAGTGTTGGGAAGGTTGCCTTCTTTACCTCTTCTTTTCCTTCCTCCCCCCGCCCCTAGCCCAATGTTGATCAAAACAATGTTTGTGCGTGAAAAAGGGGGGACGGGGGATATTAAGCAAAAGAGAAAACTCTCTTTTTTCAGGATTTAAAATGGACTACTGTTAAGTTGTGCAACCTTTCCAACTACTTTTGTCTGTGATTGTAGCTTTTTAAATACTGATGGCTATAATCGAAAATACTGATTTGCCATTGGCTGTATAAAACGCGGTTTACACGTGAAGATGTTGAACTCTGTTCTGTCCCTTTTACGGTTCGTGAAAGAATGCAACTTGTTTACGGGGTCATTTTGCTCAATAAGATTTTAAGAAATCACCTCCTTTCCAAAAATATGCAACGAAATTATGCATCATTCACTTCAGTGTTACCCTAAATTATCTCATGCACTGGATCATGGAATTTTGCGTGACATCTTCTCTGGCGCTCGACAATTGAGATAGCCTGAGTATCAGGCCCCTTAGGAAGGCCTGATACAATTGAGAGCAAAAATATGTCAAACTCTTGGCAATAAGACAAAACATTCACACCGTGTGCTGCGAGGACGATTATTTTCCAAACGGAAAATTTAAATTATTTAATAGTTTGTTTCACTAGCTCAATGTACCCTGTTTTTCCAAAAACTTTGTTTTCTATTGCCGATTTGTTTGCCGTGCGTTATCTGTGGGTCGTATTCAAAGAAGGAAAATGCTGTGTTGGGACACAGCGCGCGGCAGACATTCCCGTCGCTCGGCTTTTTTTACATGGCTTGTTTACGTTCGCACGTACTAGTGCGTGTCTAACAAACAGCTTAGCATATCTGGAGTACAATATTCGATACAATATCGTAACTACAGTTCTCTACATATCAGAATACGTGAATCACATGTGAATCAACATAATCGTTTGTAAGTTACTTGTGCCGCCGAAAGATACTTCTATATCTACTCTCAGCGCAGGATACATTTTATATTGTAGATCCGAAAAAGAGGAAGATACTTGTATTAAAAGCTTCTTAGTTAAAAGTTTTTAAAAAACTTGTTAAAATTCTCTGATTGCTCTTCAATGGAAATACGAGCCTGATTCATATCTTACTTGGCTTAACCGCAGCCGGACATCATGTTATATTTTGCCTTCAACATGAATAGAACAATATACACACTCACCCCATTCTTTGATCTCTTTGGCTAGTTTAAAGTTCCCTGCAGTTTCCAAATGGGCTGACAAGTAACCCATATCTCCGGGCCAAATCTTATGCTGTCTACATAGTAATTCTAAAAACTCTAGGGAGTTATTGGTGGATTCAATCTCTCCCTCTGCCAATTCGTCTTTGCACAAAAATTTCAACGTTCCCAATACATCATCCGTTATTTTTCTGGACGTGAGAACGATGAAAGTACGAAAATTTCTATCACTAGAAGATGCCATTATATTCTTGGTGATCGAATTAAGGCCGGAAGAACTGATTGTAGTAGAGGCAGGATCCAGGAAGTGAATGAAAACGAGGTTGGTTCAAGTTTAGAGGCAGGAACGCGTGACCAACCCCCAAGAACGTCTGCGTGGGAGGCTAGTTTAGACGCCGTTTGTATGCAAACAGATAAATCATTAATTAATTCGGAAGAGGTTGCAGATTGAGGAACCTCCCAAAAAATTTCATGCATTGAAAAAATAGTAAACAATCGATCATACATTACAAACAGGTAGTACCGTATTTATTCGAATAAGCGCCCAACCTCGAATTAGCGCCCTCTTCGAATAAGCGCCCATCCTAAAGGCAGAAAAAGTTAATAAGCGCCCACCCCCTCCCCCTTCCACTCAAACTCAAATAAGCGCCCACAACCAAAACCCACCCCCTTCTCCCTCCCATCCAACAAAAATGAATAAGTACTAATAAGAGACTTCCCCGAAGACGGAGTCAGTTCTTAAGGGTATTTTACAGAAACTTGCTTTGTTACATCTTCGCGTTTTGTTAGTACCTTTTTTTGATTTGTCGCAATATAAACATACTGCACTTGCTGAAAATAGAGAAAATTTAATAAGCGCCCAGTTTCGAATAAGTGCCCACCTCGAATAAGCGCCCACTCTCAAGGTCCAAAAATTTAATAAGCGCCCAGGGCGGTTAATCGAATAAATACGGTAACTCTGATGCACTCCTGACGGCTCACTGTACAATAACCTTTACTTTCAAAAAAACTACCTCTTAGTAGTAGATAAATAAATAAATAACTAGAAAAGTAAATAATATAAAAGATAAATAGATAAAAGTGAATACTCAAGATTCTCATATAGTATCACTACAGCTGCTTCGGCGCACGACTCTTTCTTTACAGTTACATTACGTACCAATTTAACAATGGTGGATAAACTGACCCGATTTCGCGCGGGCGTGATTTGTTGGTCGCCGCCATGTTTATAAGCCAAGGTTTCAAGAATGAAACTGTGTGGTATGTATCGTTATTTAACTTTGATTAACTATGCTTGCTAATGCGCTGTATAATCTGGGAAAATTTTTGTAAAGATTTAAATCCATGAATGGTAACTTGATAAGCATTTGCTATGTGTGCTTTTTAAAGCGAAATGAACTCAGCTGACCTATAGCTACCCTGCGAACACAGTCTCCTTCGATCTTCCAGGATAAGTCTGGAAGAGGAAGGAACCTCGGCTGGTGCGTGATATACCAAGTGAATAACAAGTCTCGTGTTACGACACAAAGAACACAATAATGATCCCTAGCCCTTACACAATAACACTATAAACTTCACACAATAGAACGAGACAATAGTGCATATATTGACTTAATATATCGAGCATCACCCGAAATCTCTGCCAACGTCCTTGACAATTCATATTGGGCATGCTCCATATTCAAACCAACTGAGTCGCTCAACCTCGCTTTGAAACTAATGTCCGTGGGAGTTTCTTGAAGCTTTCATTCAAAAAACTGAGGTGCAAATAAGGTCAATAAGCTATAAAAATCTTTAATTTTGGATTTTTTAGTATAAATCTAGAAAACCATTAAAACATATTGGCATATAAATTTCAAGTAGTACCTGGAAAATGAACCAGAAGTGACGGATACACGTGAAATATTAAAAGCATTGATCATTTAGATGCAACTTGGATTCTGTAGCCTCATGATCTTATTTTGAATTGATGTTATGAATGAGCAAATACAAAAGAATAGGCATAGAAATTATTTCCTGAAGAAGGAAATAATCCAAGAACTTTGTGTAACACTTACTGGATTGTGGATGCATTCACTCAAGTAAAATCGGCTAAGCATGGTTAAATCCAAAAGAAAACTCAACTCAAATCGGGGTGCATTTTCCAGTTTTTCTAAAAACAGGACTAGTGCTCCACCGCAGTTAACTGAATGTTGAATGGTTAATTTTCTCAAAATTACTTCTTGAAGTTGAAGCCGCAGCCATTTGTTTTGTCATGGAGGGTGGGCATAGAAAAAGTCAGCAAAACTCCAGAATACATATGCGTGCGGAGATAAAACTGGTTTATCCAGTATGAAACTTATCTAACCCATCCAAATCACATGATTATCGGCAAATCAAAGGAGTGTAAAGATGTCGGCAGAGTCACTTCCTCTTTCCCAACTTATCTAGGAAGGATCAAAGCAACTCTACTAGTAGGGTACAGCTGATCTAAGATAGAATTAAAACTTCAACCATAGTACAGTGTACAATAAAAAAGCTTTTCATAAGAATCATATCTTTTCAAAGGAGCTATTTTGCTAGAAACACTCTCAAATGAAAATAAAGAACCCACTGTTTTCCCAGAAAGAAAGTAAATAAATTTTTAAAACATGATGCTGGCCATGTGGTTATGTATTTTCAATCTGTAAAACGGCAGTTGCAAAGTTGTAGACATTAATTTTTTTATTTTGACCACCACCAGACTTGCCAAGTCTCATGAGTCTCACGATTGTAGGACCTGTCTCACGCTGTCACGAGTTGGAAACTGATTTCTTACACTTTCTCAAAAAGTCAAACTTCAAAAAATTTTGGAGCTGTAGGGTTGTTTCCAAGTCAGATATCAATAGATAGCCAGTTCAACCCAAAGAAAACACTTAGCGGTGGCATTTGATTTTATTCTTTTAGCCAACTGTGACTTGCTGCTGCCACCAAATGTGCAGGCCTACTGTTTTTCTTGTTTCAAAATGGCTCCAACAAACCATGGAAATTACAAAAACTAAATAATGTAAATCGTAAAATTTATTGTGATGTTTACTGCTCAAGCTCTAAAGTGATATAGTGACTTCAAATACCCATAATCTCTACTGAAAGTCCTTCAATTAGAAAATTTAAGACATCTCATGACATTTTACCCATTTCTCACTACGTTTCCCAGCTCTAGGTTCAGAATCACATTTTTTGTCTTTTGGGTGTTGGCAAGTTTGCCCCAGTCCACCTAGCTCCTTTATAATCATTCTTTAAGTATTATAGTACCAAGTGGACAAGAACAACATTGATATTGTGATATTGTTGGAAAGGTCAGCACTGAAGAGGTGGAAATATATACCCAGGGATACCTTTTATGAAAGCATAGTTATATGTTAGCTCTCCCAGAACATCATCATCATCATCATCATCATCCTCATCATCATCATCGTCACCATCTCCCCATCTCCCTCACAGGTCACCAAATCTCATGTATAATATCAACTTTTGATCATGTGCTTTTCTGTGCTTTTATACTTTGGAAATTAACTCATATTATCCCAAAATTTTTTTTTGTAATTGGGGCATTTTTGCACTTGTTCTATCACTGATAAAGATTATTAAATTAAAAAGCGAATTTTGATGGTCTGTGTCTCTGTGCCTCATGTTACATGTATGTCCTAAATCATATATATACTTGCGTGATATTTTTGGTAGGGGGGTGGGGGTGGGGGTGGGGAATGGTCATTGATATTTTTGATGGGGGTGGTAATGCAAAAGAGATGGTCTCCAGAATTTTGATCTCCAGAGGTTGGCATATTTGCGCTATTAGTAATAATATTACAACTGTTGTCAGAAAATAATTCTTTTAAGAGTGCTTATGTAGACTTGTTGTGAGTGATCTGTTGTTGGTGAGCATTTCTTTTAATATTCTTTTTAGCATGCAGATCTTGCCTGCTGCTTTTTCTCAGCTCCCTTTCCTATTTCCACTACATATTAAAGTCAGTGTAAAAGCTTAGCACATGTACATCATTACTTTCACTTTTTTGCATGTAGGCTCTCCAGCAAGACCAGTTTTTGGGCTAGCTGTTTCTTGTCAGGTGAGTGATAGAAAGATATGTTATAACTTTTGAAGCAGCTGCAGCAAATGAATGTTCACCCGTTCAAAAAATTAAAAAAAGTGCCACTCTCAGTTTTCCACTTCAACCACCTACAACATCTAATGAGCTCAGCCATGACATGTGTTCCAGGTTGCAGCCCTCAACAACAGCTCCAATAGTTATCATCATATTGCGATTATCATAACTTTATCACACAGTATATTTAACGTATTTCACAATGTTATGACCGATAGAATTAAAAAATGTCTGATCAAATTATCAAATTTTAGAAATGTTAGGTTTGTGGAGAGGGGAAAACAATTGAACCCAGGGAAAAGTCTGTTGATGAAAGATCAGACCAGGTTGTCTATTTATAACTACAGAACGGAGCAAATTATAGGTTTACCTTCTAAAAATATTGCATCTGTTATTAAGTTAACTAATTTAGTTTTTTCTGTTATCTCAGAGAAATGTCAGCTACCTGCCAAAGGCATGTCCTGGAGGAAGATCCTCTTGTAGTGGAGTGGTTGCAACTGTATTTGGGAGTACTGACTTTTTAGGACGATAATTATGTCCTCAATAGACTAGGTAATTACAGCTGAATGGGGCTACAAACTTGTTTGACTACTCAAGTGATACTGCCTAGTATATATAAAGTAGTTTTCTATGTTCATTAGCCACTGCTCAGTTATCTCACTGAGGATCAAGGGGGGCAGAGTTTAGATCTTACGTGGCTTGAAGCAGTAGCAGAGGGCACCTGTATAATTTTGGCAATGTCCAGTTTTATCTTTCTTGGTCCTGTGTAATTCAGCCATCAGCTGTGAGGGAGAAAATTTGTGCTGTTCATTGTTCTTTGTAAATTCCAGTCTTAAAAGTATGCATGGACAGCTAAGGCAAAATGTGGTGACCCACATCATGGTGGAGCTTAATCTGGATGTGTCAACAGTTGAAGAAGTCTTCTTACTCAGTTCCTTTGTTTGGTTATTAAACCTGCTCTCAGTTTCTTGTACACTGCAATCACACATGCAACATGTAAAGAACCCATCCCTATTTTGCTATGTCTGACTGATCAAGTTTTTGCTTCCTGTGTTAACATCTTTCAGTTGTCTAAAATGGTACACCCTCTTTTCACAGGGCGTGGTGGAAATCAGATCATTGT